CCAGCTCCTCCGAAGAGAGTCCGCGTGCACGAAATAAGCGAAGACGATATGGTTCAGACGAAGAGGACCAACATAATCCCTTTGTGCGACGGATCGCAAGGGTAGTACTACCCAAAAAGTTCAAAGCTCCACCGTTCACCCTATATGACGAAAAATCGGATCCCACTGATCACATCTGTTGTTATAAACAGGCCATGACGCTGCATGTAGACGATGAGGCTCTCATGTGCCGAATATTTCAGAGCAGTTTGGGACCATTGGCTGTCAGATGGTATTATAAGTTGGAACCGACGTCAATCAAGAGCTTCTATCAATTACAGAAATCCTTCAAGGCAAGATTCATCACCAATGAAATTCAGCCAAAGCAAGCTGACTCTTTCCGGGCAATGCAAATTAAACCAGAAGAGACCCTTCGTGAATATTTGGCGCACTATTGGGAATGTTTTAACTTGGTGGATGATGCCTATAATGATTCCATGGCCGTTACCGCCTTTAAGATGGGATTACACCCTGATAGTCCTCTCCGTAGTTTGTTGACCAAACGGCCACCCAAGATAGTCTAGGCGTTAATGAAGAAAGTTGAAGAATATTGTAAGGTGGAAGACGAGGCCCTGCAGGTCAAGGCCGAACAGAAAGTTGTTAAATCGACACCATCTGGTCTGGTTCAACTGATAAGCACCGTTGTAGACGTCCCTGAACGCCTCGGGAGGATGAGTCTCGTTCTGTTCGCTTTGAGCTCACTACAGTTCGGACTCTCGAATTTGTCACGGTTCTTAATCTGAACCAAAGAGTCCAAATTCGGCAAATCGTTTTGAGAAAAAACAGATTTTTTTTGTAAAGAAATGCCAAACATGGACTGCTTTGTCAGATACAGAGTCGCCACCTAAATATTTTATTTTAAAAAATTTAGGAAATCCTGACTTGGTGCCAAAGGCCACGTATCCGTCATCACCAAAGTTGTCTCGGCTCGGGAACTTGGGTACGATTGGGAAGGTCAGCTATGAGCACCCCCGCTCGCCCGATCCGAAGATCGGCCTCTACTAACCATGATATCTTATTTTTTAAAACACATGCATTCTTATTCTAGTTAATTGGCCTAGAATTACTATGTGATGCGCACAGCAAAACAAGTATAGACTAGATTGCCTAATTTGGAACAAAGCATTGCATATCCCTTCGTTTTGAAAATGGTTTGAGGTTTGCTACTCGCGAGTAAGCTAAAACACGGATTTCAGCGAGTTGTTCCAACTCAAACAATTCAACCTTCACCCACAAGCATCCAGGTAGTTATATCACATAAGCATTTAGTCACATGGTAAGCATGCTGTCATGTTAACATTCACACTCATGCGAGATGCTAAAGCATAAAAATACTTACAATGTACTCCGAGCCAAGACAAGAACATGTTAGCAATCAATGCATGATCCAAGTTCATGTTAAGTGGCTAATGCAACGCATACAGAATACAATCTAGAATAGGCTCGGCTAATCTATGGATGGCATATGATGATGCTACAACTAACACGTATTCAACTTGGAATTGAAATACAATGCAGTTAGTATGATGCACCGAGCCCGGTGCATGCAAAACGAATGAATGGATGCAAGCATGCTATCATACTGTATGCTAATTGAAACATGTCTTAATACTAACCATCAAAAGCAGGTAAGTAAAAGGGAGAAAGAAGTGGGGATTGGAAGACATGCATCACACACACACATGCTTATTACAAATTCGTCCTCGCTCGGAGGGACCAAAAGAATAATACAATTTAATTAACCTACAAGCTAATTAAATAATTTACAGACCAGCTAATTAATTAAGCAAATTAACTAAGCTAAAAAAGCAGTAAAAGGCCTCGGAAGAGGGTCCAACGCACGCGTGCTCGGGTTTGCTCGGAAATCCATCGCTATGCACAAGTTGCCTCTGTTTACCCTGCTCTGCTTCTCTGAAAATTTCACAACTCCCAAGGTATGCTCCATGAACACTATAGAGTACCACCGGCCAAGGGGAATCATCACCGGCTATTGGTAATGATCATCGACCATTGATTGATCTCTCAGACATCCATATTTGGTCGGTCGGCACTAAGGATGGTCGGCCGGCCAAAGCTTCCTGTAGAAACCTTTGTAGCCAAAAAGGGACAGTAGCCTCTTGGTCCAAAAAAATAGTCCCTTAGCCTCTGAAAATGGCCTTCAAGCTCCTTAGGTTGATGATGGAGGTGTTAGGCCAAGAGTTGTAGTGTAAATGTACAAGAACTAGACCCTTTTGAACCCTCTAACGCACACAAATGTAGAGAGAGATGGAGATATAGAGAGGGAGTGATATATATATCCTATATATCAGATTTTTCTAACCCTTGAAATGGGAGGAGAGGCCCTCTATTTATAGAGCAAGGCAAAAGGCCTAAGCTTCTTGGAGAAGCTAAGGCAAAAGAGCTTCAAGCTATTTCCTCTATTCTTATTGCTTTGGCTCCTATGGAAAATTCTCAAGTCTGGCACTATGAATCGAAAAGCATATATTCAGTTACCTCGGGGTATCACACTACCGGGACAATGTTAAATGATATTGTGGTCCATCAGGAATTGTAAAGCTATTTCGGTTTGGACAACTTGAGTTAGTCCGGTCTCCGAGTTAGTCCGGTCATGACGTATTCTGGATAGATTGGTCAAGACCTTGCTACTCGGTAGCTCGGTCCCAATATATCATGGTTCATGCATGGGAGAACCGAGATGAGGAGTGAAAGGAAGGGCCGAACTAAGGATAGTTCGGCCTACCTCGTGGCTCAGCTTAGCCAGTTTACTTCGGTTAAATAGTAGTTCGGCCGTAGTTAAAACCATCCCACTTGGTTACGCAGTGGGGGGGTGTAAAAGGATATGCATTATCCTTTAGGAGTATGAATTCTAGGAAGACTCTGCATGGAGAAATAACAGTTCTACTAGGATTGTGCCACTCGAAACCTATAAAAGCTCACAAGCATCACCTTGGAAGAGGTAACATAACACAACATACAATTTTGCTTCTCGAATACATTGAGTTTTGTCTATTTGTCAAGTTTTCTGACTTAGGCATTGGAGAGGTTTCCGGCACACACCCGCCGGCTAGCTCACGTTTGTGTTTTCAGGTGACAAAGCGACATTGTACGGAGAAGCGTGGACTTAGTCAACAAGATTATACGAGAAAAATTATTTCTTCCCCGTACAATATTATACTAAATTCAAATATTATATTATATTATATTAGATAGACTAGAGGGTAAATTGGACATTTTAAATCATATCCCAACCTAGGGGATATGATATAATGGGGGATGGTAGTATTGTATATCCTCTAATTTTGGATGATATACAATCCTATAGTGTATTATATCCTCTTCAAAAAAAAATTACAAATATGAAATATGTGAATCCCACAACATATAATATTCAATCACATCCTTTATATCCTGGAATCAAACAGGCCTTAAAGTATAGGTTAACCGGACTTTATTTTTACATCATGTTATACTTATTATCCTATCTATTTATACGATATTAATATGAAGATTTTACTACTAGATTAACACATCATCAAATGATATGATAAGATGATAAAAATAGATTCTGGTTATAAGATTATTGGTCCTTTTTTTTTTAATTATTGGTAATGCTATGTATTTGTAAATAATATTTAACAAGTGCTTAAGATTTGAACTTACTATTTAAATTTAAATTTAATGTAATGTGAATTATATTTAAAATAAATTTGATTTATATTTTTTTTAAAATAAATTTTTGAGTGTTTTTTGGTAGCTAAATAGTCATTATAAAAAAAATTATTTTTTATTTTTTTACACATCTTTTAATAAAAAAATTATTGAAGAAATTAAAATAATTAATTTTCAAAACAACTAATAGTAATGCTAAAATTAAAGTATCATCAAATGCAAAATACTATTGTATTAGTTTAATGAGTCGCATATATTAATTCTTAAACAGGTGATGATATCTAAAATTTAGAACTCAAATTTCATAACATATTATTACTCTGTTTTTCTTCTTTCTTTTTTTTTTTTTCTTTTTCTTTTTCGTTTTACTCTTCTTCAACTGTTTCTTTCTCATCCATTCAATTTTTTTTGGTTTTTTTTTTTTTTTTTTTGAAAATTATTTTTAAATAATGTCCAGCTTAGTTACGACTTGGAATATGGAGAATTGTAAGCCAGGGGGTCCCATACGAATATAAACTTTTTTGTTTGTCTTAGTTAGCATTTGTCGCTAGTTCATGGAGGCTAATGTTGACTGAGCATTCTCTGCAGTTTTCTCGATGGTCCCACCAGCATATATGGTGTCAAATGTTGATTGAGGCTCTCTGTGTGATTCTTGGAAGTTTCTGTTGAACAACATATAAAGGTGAGATAAAAGTAAATGAAATATAAGTTAATATAAATGATAAATAAGTGTGAATATTACACAAAAATGTTTGTTGGTCCATCACATTAATCAACATTGACTTCATCTTTCTAAATAGTTGTGGTTTTGTACATCATAGGCTCTGTGAGTGTTTGATTTTTACAAAGAATGTTACATAAATTTTCAAGTTATGTTGATATATATTACTGTTATTAACTAGTGAAGTAAGTTGTTATCTTAATTGATGTGTAGTGAAATTTGCAGATACCAAAAGAGTACTAAACTCCCAATCAGGAAGCTTCTATTCAAGAGGCTTGTCCGTGAAATTGGTTAGGACTTCAAGGTAGTTGATTATATTAAATATGCAAAAACCACTTGCAGAAGTTGTTGATGGTGGAGGTGTAGTAAAAGCAGCAGTTGCTGCTGGACACAAGAAGCACTACGATCCTCCAAAACCAGAGACGGTAATTGTCGTAAGCTCTAATGAAGAATTGGAGTTCGAGGAGAAAAAGCCTGTCACCGTCATTGCAAGAAAGTTGCGACTTGGGTCTTCTAGGAATTAGGTCAAAACTATGACTTCAATCCTCACTACTCAAAGCAAGGTTGTTAGTGTGGACTTCTCTCAATTTCAATTTCAATTTCATCATCAATTTTTTCCCCTCTGTACATACTTTTTCTATTTGTATATGTATATTATTCCTTGTTACTTAATTTGATCTACCTCAGACATTATGTGGACCCACCACGAAACCGAAGGATCCAATAGCAACATTGATGCAGTAGATGTTGATAATGAATTGGCAGTTGTGGAGTATGTTGAGGACATCTACAAGGTCTACAAGTTTACAGAGGTACTATTTTGGCCTTCATTTTTTCTATCTTTTTACCTTCTCTGTCTATCGACATGTTTTGCTCATTAATGGGAATTTATTATGGTAGGGTGAGAGTCAAGTTCACGATTACATGGATTCATAGCCTAAAATCAATTCAAAGATGAGATCAATTCTCATAGACTGGTTGACAGAGGTTCACAGGAAGTTTGAACTAATGCCTGAGACCCTTTACCTCACAATTAACATAGTATCAGTACCTTTCAATGAATGATGTCCCAAAAAGGGAGCTTCAATTGGTCGGCATTAGTTCAATGCTAATTGCTTGCAAGTATGAAGAAATTTGGGCACCAGAGGTAATTAGTGTTTTGTTTTCATCATTTAGAACCATGTCTGGTCTAAAAATTGTTTGGTTTCACTGAAATTTGGGCACCAGATTTGATTATATTAAATATGGAACAAGCAAGGACTATACATGTTCTTATTATAATGGTGATTTATGTATTAACTTTCATCTCTTCATGCTTTTGATAGTATTTATTGCTTTGTTCTAGAATTTCTTCAAAAGGATTATAATTTCCAACTATTATTTATTTATCTGTAGGTCAAAAGGATAATTTTGCCGAGGGAAAGATCTGATTCAAGATGTAAGAGGAATTTGTAACTTTTTTTTTTCTTCTTTTAATAGGCCCAAAATTGCAATCTTCTAAGAATTTTTTTATTTTTAGTAAGAGCATTAAAATATCCAAGTGTGTTGATTGGTGAATCTAGAACCCTTTTCTTTTCTTTTCTTTTTCTTTTTCTTTTTCTTTTTTTTTTTCAAAGATCGAGGTGAAGTTTAGAACTTAAATATGCTTCTATGAACATTTATTTATTTATTTATTTCTATCAAATATCAAATTTGATGGTTTTATTTCACCATCTTCTACTTTTGTTTTTACTTTTTGCTATGTCGTGCTTTATGGTTTTATGTAAATTGGAATGTGAATAAATATCCAGCTAGCTCAACAAAATATTTTATATTTTAATTAAATTATGAAATAAAGAAAAAAGATGGCATTTTTGTTCAAAACGTCACTGTATCCTGTGACGTCATTAGTTATTATTTTAATGGATTGCATATTATACAGACGCTTATGAAAATGCCACTACAAGTATCAGCAATGTTTATAAAGCACCTTATACACATGGCGATGGCCACACCAGCGACGTAAAGTAAAAATGCCGCTATATCCTTTTGACAAAGCGAATAAACTAGCAATTATAAATGAAATTGGATTTACCGATTTGGGAAAAAACGTAGGGCAATGAGTTCACCACTAGTTACATAAATAAGGTTTCAATTTGATATCAATTATGCTATGGTTCGAACTAAATAATACTTCGCAACTACAAGTTCGAAGCATTTATCAAGAAAATTATCGCATTCAATGTATAGGCACGAACCGTCTCAAATAGTATGAGTCATTCGCTCTAAACTAGGGTAGCAAAACGACTCCTCCCTCATAGTGTGGCTCGTCTCATACCTTGAATATGAAATAAATGAAAACGATTGTATGGAAAGCTTTCAACAATCACAAAAAGCCAAATACTTGAAGAAATAGTGGAAAATATATATTTGAAACTTTTAAAACACCATACAATTGTTCAAACATTTACATAATAAAAAATGAAAAAGAAAACCTAATTACATAGCTAGGGTTTCATCAAAACCCTATAAAAGAAGAGCCTAGCCACTCATGGAGGAGTGGGAAGAGGTTGAAGAGATAAAACCCTCTATGGGAATTTGCTTTGAAGATTGAGAATCACCTTTTGCCAAACCCTATCCTCCTCTTTCTCCTTCAATTTTTCAGAACCCTAATCTAGCCTTTTTTTCTATCTTTTCATACCTCTACAATTTTTCCTCACATTCAAAACATCATGCACGCTTCCTGAGGTATGGCTGCATGTGCGAGAATTTTCACTGCACATGCGGCGAGGGTTCCGCACATGTAGGAATGGGCCTCTGCACATGCAATTTCTTTAGGGCCTATTTGGCTGTGATGGATGGGCCACACATGCGGGAATAGGCCTCCACATGTGTGTGGAGCATTTTTCTCTACAATTTCTGTATTTTTGCTTATTTTATGCTCCTATTGTGTCCAACCTGATTGACATTAAACATGCATAAAATATATAATTTGGCAGGCCAGTAGGGTTAAGAGATCCTAATTATCAACCTCAGTGATGTACAATTTGGCCTGAATCTGCCACTTATAACAGTGTTTTTTAAACGCTGGTAAAGGCAATTTTTCCTGTAGTGTTAAGAGAACCATCAATTTCTTTAAAGTGCTGTAAAAAGTGACCTGTTGAGACATAATTAATTTTAAATAATTATTTTGACAAGCAAATTGAGTAAAATAAATTGGGTTTGAAACTTAGAATGTATTTGAGTATCTAAAGGGTTTTGGAATTTTTCGAACAACATGGAGTGGGTTTTTAAATTTCAAAGTTAGTGAATAGATTGGAAAAACTTGTTTAAAATTTTATTTTATCTCAAAGTGGCATTTAATTAAGTTTCAATTTGAACACATATCTTGGGTAATTTAAGACCTTGAAGAACATGAATGTAGGTATTATTTAAGAGTAATGGTAACTTGGGTTTGTGGACTCGCCCTTTTACGCGCCCCGCCTTTCGGAAAGGTTTGAAAAGAAGGCGTCATAGTTCGGACTCCCGCGGTTCTGAATCTAGTCTCACAAATGCAATGTGAAACTGATAAACATCAAATAGTCCAAATCCAGCAAACCTTTTTGAAAAATCGATTTTAAATCAAATAATGCCAAAATTGGACTGCTTTGCCAGATATAGAGTCGCCACCTAAATATTTTATTTTTGAAAAAATTTAGGAAACCCTAACTCGTGCCAAAGGCCACATGTCCATCATCACCAAAGTTGTCTCGACTCAGAAACTTGGGTACGAGAGAGGAAGGTCCTGAAATGAGCACCCCCGTTCGCCTGATCAAAGATCGGCCACTACTAATCATGATATGATTTTTTATAAATATTATGTGTTCTTGTTCTGGTTATTAGCTAACATTACTATGTGATGCGCACAAGCAAGTATAGAGTAGTTTGTAAGACTTGGAACAATTCAACTCATGTTTGTTTGCAAAAATGGTTTGAATTTGTCACCTTAAGTGGGCTTAAAAATGCAGATTTGTCACAACAAAGTGGGCTTAAAACTTACATTCGTTGAATCGTTCAAATTCAAACAACAAGCCTTCATCCACAGGCACTTAAACAATTTAGCATTTATGCACATAGCCTCACGACAAGCATGCTAATCATGGCAATATGGAAATTACACTCATGCAAGTATGCTAAAGCATAAAACTTACTGAGTACTCCGAGCCAAAACAAAAACTAGTTAGAAAGAGGCATGATCCTAACTATACAAGATGTCTAATGCAACACATGCAATATGAAATTAATAGGCTCAGCTACTAATATGGCATATGAATCAATTTGATAACATGCTATTAAACACGTATTCAAAGAAGTATTGAAAGTGCAATGTAGTTTGAATGATGCGCCGAGCCTCGATGCATGCAAAACAAGATGAATGGATGCAAGCATGCGATATGCTAATTGAAACATGTCCCTAATCTAACCATTGAAAGCAATTAAATAAATGGGAGAAAGACGTGGGGTTGGAAGACATACACACAGGCATGCACACTAATTACAACATTATGCCCTTGCGAAGGAGGGTCCGAATGAGTAGAAGCTAACCAACTAGCTACGCTAATTGAGCTAAACTAATTATTACAAAACAAAATTGAATAACTAGTTAAACTAACTAATTATTTACAGCTCTTAATTAGCTACAACTAATTAATTACAACACGTATTAAACAACTAACTAACTAGACAAGTTAACTAAATGGCCTCGGGAAATGAGAGATGCATGCATGCTCGATTCCTTCACCTGAAAAAGCCACCATTTTGCTGCTGCGAGCCTCTGTTTGCACATTTGAACACCAAAAATTCTGCCAACTTCCAGAATACCTTTGCTCCACCTCAGGAACACACTGTGCAAATTTCATTAGTGGTCGACAGGGGGCCTGTCAGCTACCAATGGTGGACGGTCGGCTACTGGTGGTGGCCGGTCGACCACTAATGACATAAACTTCTCTTTTTGCTGCCACAGAGAGCAGACGGAGCAAAGCAGTGTATTCTCACAGGTTTGTGTGTATTGTTTACACACCTTATCATCAAACAAGCTCAAAGGAGTGAAACTCTTGGCTCTCAAACCACCAATCAAGCAATTTCCATACACGATGGTTAAAGAACCAAGTTTGTACAAGTTTAATGAGTGCAAAACAAGGCTAAAAAAGACCACCACCCTATCATGCATGATCAAGGGTGATGGTGACCAAAGAAAGTGACACATTTCATTACTTTTGAGTATGAAATATCTCATTTTCCTTATGTTTGAATTAACGTCTGATTTGAACACATGCAATGCAACACGAAAGATGCTTCTTGCCTCTTTTACTTGTCCAATTTTGTTTGCTCATTTTAATTACCAATTCTTTATTTGATTTGTCCATTAGTGAGTGTCCTCTAATGGAAAGATGGCTCAAACAACAAGTTGCTTTGGGCATGAAAGAGGCATTACACTGTTGGTAATGAACCCCCTAAGGGATTAAACCATTAGGTGTAGCACCTATATTTCACACTTAGGCAAACAAGAGGTTTAAAACCACTTTTAAAACAAACAAAAGAGTGAAGAATGGAGGGAGATTGCAAAGATTTTAAGTGCTAAAATGAAGTGTAAAACAACACTAAAACATGCTATTAACTCAAAACAATGATGATCAAAGCATTAAAACATCGAGCTAGTGAAGGAAATAACACTACAACTATGTAAAACAAGCCTCAACTGAACTAACCAGCCTAAAACAGAGCCAAAATAGGTTATTTCAGAGGAAAAAACATTCTAGACTTAAGCCACAAAAAGCTAAAATAATAAGCTAACATGTGAGGCTAACTAGGCATGCAAACAAGACACAAGGAGGGGAGGCTAACCCCTCCAATTTTGAACTTCAAAACAAGGTTTTTACCACTGAAAAACCTCTGAAATTCAGTGGTTAAAAGGCCCAAAAACGTTGATTTGAAAGTGATGAAAAATGATACAAAAGCTTAACAAGAAAATGAGCAAGAAGAGTGGACCACCCCTAACTCAAAGAGACCTCAAACCACCATTTTTAAGTCACAAAAACAGAGTTTTTGATAGTTCAAAATCAGCCCAAAAATAGTTGGAAAAGATGGCAAAACAAAGTCACAAAACAAGTATAAATAAGGTAAGTACTATACCTTTGACGCAAAACACAAAATAGCCAATAATCCAAGCTCAAACCACCATCTAGAGCTCAAACAAGACTCCAAGTAATCTCAGCCCAAAGGTGAGAGTGTTTGGTTAAGGGTTGATATGTAAAAGCTAAGGACTTGTGAGCAAATGTGTACAAAATATCGAGAGAGAGAGAGAGAGAGAGAGAGTTCTAGAGAGAGAGAGATTTTTGCTCTAATTTTTCTAACCCTTCAAAATGAAGGAGGAACCCTCCTATATATAGAAAAACCACCTCTTGAGCTTAGAAACATCTCACCATACACGTGTATGGAGATGTAGCTCAGTGTGCAACAACTGGCACATCTGTCAATAAATATCTGAAAAAAGGCATCGGTGGCCGTCAGCCACCATTGGTGGCCGAATGGCCACAGCCATGGCTGACAGCCTTGGGTGGTGGCCGACAGGTCACCAAGAGGTCCAAACACCAAGTTTTGGTCCAAAACAAGGCATAAAAAGAACAAG